ACAGAGAAAACATCTTTAAAACCACATTTAGGATTTCAGATTAAAGGAGATCAAAGGGACCTGAAAACTAGACAGCTTAAAGGCAGTGTGTGACCCTAGACTGAGTCCTGGAGCAGGGGCCGAGGGTGGTAGGGGAGCCATAAAGGACATTATGGGGACAGGTGGCAGATTTGGAATACACCCTGTGATTCCGTGCTCGTATTAGACCGCTGTTAGATTTCCCGATGCGGGTAGATGTGTCTGGTAATACAAAGGGGCATGGTGTCTGCAACCGACTCTCCACCGGTCCCCAACGAAATACGCATTTATGCAGAGAGAGAGAGAATGGGAAAGCTTCTGAGGCAAGATAATAACCATCAGTAAATCTTGGCGAAGCTCATAGGAGCTCATTTTATTGTCCTTGCAACTTTCCTGTTAAGTTTGGAGTTATTTCAAACTAAGAAGTTAAAAAAAAATCACATTAGGAAGTAATTCTGGCCTTGTAGGACTGACAATTACTCATTTCTTAAAAGAAAAACTGGGAGGGCCAGAAAACAGAAATAACATGCACACTCCAAATAATTTCTGTGTGAAGTAGAGAGAGCTGAGATTTGCAGTTAATTATATCCACCAGTCAGACAAAAATCCAGACTAGCCCCTCCCTCCCCCTCCCCCGCAGCCCTGCTGACTTGAGAATAGAGAACACAGGCCTCGCCGTGTCCGGCACCGGGCGCGACCATCCCAACAGCCTCGCGATGAGGCAACTGGGAAGCGAGGCCTTTGTGTGCGTGGAAGGACCCGCGCTTCCTCCGCTGGTGTTGGGGATGGCTTTGTCAGTTACCTTGCAGGATCTGTTTGCCTCCAGTTCTCATAAGGAGGGAAATGAGTTGACTTGGAATCCAAGTCCATTTGGAATGTTAGATGAAACCATGGAATTTCCCTGTCTTCTCCTCGTGAGGAAGCTAGACTTGCCAATAGCAGCCTCCCAGTTTATACCTGGATGCGCGCCCATCAGGGAGCTGGAGGTCCTGGGCAGCGGAGGGCGGTGGTGAGACCTGAACCCTCCAGGTGTCTCAGAAGGTTCTGCTGTGACTGTGATGTCAACATGGTAGTCACGTTGTCTCGTCCTGTGGCCACCCATCTCTGCACCCCATTGCTCTGCATGGATTTAGAAAAGCATACAGCAAGGTCCTGGTGTCTCACCTCGTTTTTACCTTCCTGTTGGAGCGCTACCAAGCTTAGAGCATAGCCTGTGAGAGCAGGTAGGAAGCAGCGGAAGGATCCAGTTCAGAGGAGTCATATGCAGTGCCCATAGGGACCAGGTGGGGATCCCAGGTGAGTAAAACAAGCCAGAGGGTGATGAAAACTGAAGAGTAGGTACCCCACCGAAAAGCCTTCTTGGGGTCCATTCCACAGCTACAGTGGGGCAGAGTGGGCCCACTGAGGCTCATCTTCTGAGTTTTCCAGAATGCCTGAATTCTAGATTATAAATATCCCTGTTAGTAAATATTGGCAAGGAAAAAAAAAAATTTTTTTTTCCAATTAAAAACTGAGCAGGCCAAACCAACACATCTGGCAGGTGGGATCTGGCCACAGGCTGCCAGCTGGCAACCTCTGATCTGATCCAGCCCACTCGTGTTACGTGTCTGACAGTGATACTCACTGTGACTGGACTCCTGCCGGGTGCTAGCACCCAGAGAGGCAAGCGACTGGCCTACAATCACCCCGTAAGTCAACGGCAGAGGTGGGCACGCTGCATCAAAGTGTAAACTTCTATAGTGAGTCTTCTGGGTTGACATGAAACCAAAAATCAGGCTAAAAGACGCAGCCTCATGAACAGGAGTAATTAATTCCAAATGTTTTTTAAAAAGAGAATTAATTCCATTGTTAAATCTCATAGCATCCTACTTCTGCCACATGTTTACAGAAATAACTTATTAAAATCCAATGAGTATGTTTTTTTCCTAACCACAAACAAACTGGTTTTCAAAAACAAATACGTGTAAAGATGGGTTCAAAGTGTCAGCCACAACGGCTTCGGGGGAAAACAAACCCCCTCCAGTTTTAAATAACTTGTTTTAAAAATAAACAGGGTGGTAGGACTTCTCTCAAAAGGAGACTCTAACTCCTCTCTAAAGAAGCTTCTGGCTCTTCCAGGGAACACTCTGGGCAGGTCAGAATGGAGAGGGCTTCAAGATTCCCCAGGCTGCTAGGGGAAGAGGAGGTTTCCGTGAGTGTACACTGCCCCCTACATCCTACCCCTCCCCCGCCAGGGCAGTGCTTCATGTTCATACGTAACTAAGGCCCCCATGTGCCCAATTCTGGAGTCAGATGCACCCGAGGTCAAATCCAGGAGCTGCCTCTAACTAGCTGTGTAACCTTGGACAGGTTCCCTAAACTCCTTCAGTTTCCCCGTGTTTAAGTGGAGATAGGAATGGTACCTGTCATGGGGAGCGGTTATAAGAATTAAATGATGTAACCTGTACCCATCACTTAACATCATCCTGGCTAGGAGCAAATAGCTCCTTCTCTCTGTCGTCAAAGGATGAATAGAGAAGGTACTTTTGAAACGAGCAGCACACATGCCCCAGTGGGGCAGACCCTCGGGGAGCCGGGAAGGGACTGGGGGCGGGGCAGCAGGATTCAGCTGCTACACAGCACAGGAGCTGAGCTGCCCCTAAGGCTCAGTCATATTGTGGGTCGTTTCAGGGCATTTCTTCAGATATAATTCATATCCCCTATGGTTCGCCCATTGAAACTGTATAATTCAGCGGGCTTTATGTGGGTTACGATGCGCGCACCCATCAGGGTGATTATATGACCTCACAAGGGGCCCTGTAAACGTTTAGCCATTGCTCCCCAATGTCACCGTTCCCCAGCCCCAAGCAACCACTGACCTCCTTTCTCTATGGACTCTTCTGGACATTTCCTGGAGATGGAATCATAGATGGTATTTTGTGGCTGGCTTCTCACTCACCGTGTTTTCGAGCTTCATCCTTGCTGTAGCCTGTGTCCATAGGTCATTCTTTTTTATGGCCAAATATCATTTTGTTTATCTGGTCATCCGTTGATGGGCATTGGGGTTTTTTCCATATTTGGGCTATTGTGAGTAATGAGACTGTGGACGTGTGCACACCTATGTTTTCATTTTTCTTGGGCACGAACCTGGGAGCAGAATGCTGAGTCAGAGGGTAATTCCAGTTTTAACTTTTCGAGGACCCGCCAAACTGTTTTCCAAAGCTGCTGTACCACTTTATATTCCTACAACAGCATATAAAGGTTTGGTTTCTCCATATCCTCACCAATACCTGCTGTTATCTGTTATCTGACTTTTTTCTTTCAAGCTGTATTCTTGAGTATGAAGTGGTATCTCACTGTGGTTTGGATTTGCATTTCGCGGGTGACTGTTAATCTTGTCGTGTGCATATTGGCTATTTGCATATTTGCTTTAGAGAAATGTCTACTCAGATCCTTTTCCCATTTTGTAATTGTGTTCATTTACTTTTTTATTAGTGAGTCATAAGAGTTCTTTGTAAGGTCTAGATGCAAGTCCCTTATCAGCTGTATGATTTACAAATATTTTCTCCCATTCTGTGACTTATCTTTTTACTTTCCTGATAGCGTCCTTTAAAGTGCAAAAGTTTTTCATTTTGATGAACTATAGTCTATTTCTTTTTGCTTTTGGTATCATATCCAAGAATCTACTACTAAATCCAAGGTCACAAAGATTTACTCCCATGTTTTCTTCTGAGAGTTTTATAGTTTTGGCTTTGCATTTAGATCTTTGATCTCCTTTTGAATTAATGCTTATATATGGTGTGAGGTAAGGGTCCCACTCTCTTTTCTTGCATATGGATATCTGATTATTCAGCTGTTTTTAAGGGAAGAGAAAGAACTGTGGAATGATGTGGTCCTCCACTAAGACACACCTCAGCCCAGTCCTCTTCGGAAGCACATTGGCGGATCAGAGCAGGATGGGCAGAGTCAATTTTCACAACAGGAGAGCCACTTCTTCTCTCAGAAGTTCTAGGCTCCAGGCCATAGAGTGTAAAATGAGGTATTAATTGGATGTAAAACTAACCAATGAGGTAGTGATTTCCACATCTTAACTTATACTTGTCTCTTACCTCCCTGCCATCTCCAGGTCTTTGGGATAGAAGTAGAGTGTTATAGAAAGAGAAATGACCTTTCTGACCTTTCTGTCAAAAGACTAAGAGCCGATTCTTGCCCATGCTCGAGACCTTAGATGAGTCACTTAACCTCTCTGAGACTTAGTTTTCTCCTGTCAAAAGTGGGATAATGATACGAAGTTTCCAGTGTTATCAAATGGGTTACAGAAAACATTCCCATGTACAGAAAAGCCTGCAGTACCTGGTAACCAGTTGCCACACAAAAGGTTGTGTGGTCACCCTCATTTATTCTTCTCCCCTTTTCCACCATTGATCAGGCTAAAAGTTAACTATGCGTCTGCTACTTCAGATCAGAGAGGCCAGAACCACAGAACCCCACACAGTAGCAAATTCCAGAGGCACAAACCCACCCCACAACTTATCCTGTGTTAGCCCCATTCCTCCACCCACAGCATTAACCACTGGAAGAAAAAGAATAAAGAATGGTGCTGGGGCACCTGGGCGGCTCAATCAGGTGAGCATCCAACTCTTGGTTTTGGCTCAGGTCAGGATCTGGGGGTCCTGCATCGGGCTCTGTGCTCAGCATGGAATCTGTTTGTCTATCTCCCACACCTCTGCTCTTCCTCCCACTCTCTCTCTCAAATAAATAAAACCTTGATTATAAAAAGAAAAAATTGGGGTGCCTGGGTGGCTCAGTCGGTGGTTAAGTGGCAGACTTAGGCTCAGGTCATGATCCCAGGGTCCTGGTATCGAGCCCTGCGCCAGGCTCCCTGCTCAGCAGAGAACCTGCTTCTCCCTCTCCCTCTGCCTCTCCTGCCTGCCACTCTGCCTACTTGTGCTCTCTCTCTCTGTCAAATAAATAAATAAAATCCTAAAAAAAAGGAAAAAAAAATGATGCTTAGACACACCTCAACTTGGCAGAAACTGTGCTTGGAAGGTGCCCAGGCTCAATCCATCTCGGTGTTGCAAGTAGTGCCCCAGAGCCTGGCAAGAGACTGTTAATTGGAAAGAAAACCTGTAGCCATAAGATCGAGTGACAGCCCATCTAGCGTAGCCTACATGTTGGGAAGAGAGGACCAAGAGGGATCTTCAGAGTATGAATTGAGATTTTTTTCCTCCCCTGGGCTTGAAATTCCTTCCAGTGGTATCTTGCCTGTGGGTTAGGGCATAGTGTCACTGCCAGAATCAAACACCTTACCTGGGGCAGGCGGCAGAGAGCTGGAGACACGAAGACACTGGGAGGGGTGGGAAGAGCTACGCAACATGATGAGGCATGAAAGCCCATGAGTGGCCTTTGGCATAAATCTAGGATGTTAGAGCTGATAAGAAATCTCAGAAATCTCTCCAACTCCCTCATTGGGAAAAAGAAAACAACTAAGTCTCAGAGACAAGGAATGACTTGGCTGAGGCAAGGCAAGGAGAAGCACCAGAGCTCGGGACCTGATACACATGCCATTGGGCCCTACCCTAGGGCCCTGGAACCTGGGACTGAAACATTCTGATGTGGAGAGTATTAGAGAAGGTATCACAAAAGAGGCTGAGTGTTCAGGTCTGGAGCTGAGGGCACAGAAGAATAGTTCAGGAGCTATTTTGTTGGAGAGAGAGAGGAGCAGAAATAGGCCGAGGCAGAGGCATGAAGGCTAGAAGAATCTCCCCCACATCTCTATTTGGTCAAAGGTTCTTCTCCTGGCTTATATTCTATCACCGCGGGAACTTGAGAATGCAAGAAAAAGATGGTGAGAAGTCTATGACCCAGGCCCTCATCTGCCACGGACTCTTCAGGGGCTTCCCAGAACCACCACTTCCCCTTCTGGACCCTGGTCTTCTCATGAAAAATGAGAGAGAAATGAAGTAGGTGTACTTGGAGGCCTGTGGCTCTGCCCAGTCTCCAAGCTCAAGGCCAGATTGTGTTTAGGGCAATCCATTCATCTGAGGATGAACAACTTTCTGTGGGCCTCTTTAGAAATAAGTTTGCCATGATGATTTCAAGTTCCACCATGTTTTTAATGCATCTGTTCAGGTGATATATTCGACCTGATGAATAGAAAGTACATGAGCCTAATGTACGATATTAGGAGATAATTGCAATGGATGGAAGTCTCTTGAGTCAATTAACTCTTATTACCTGGAAACCATTTAGAAGAGGCAATAAATTATTGGGACAACACAATTAGCAGTCCCACAATAAAACGGGTTTCATGTGTGCGCCTGTAGGTGCCCCCCATCTGCTGAGGGCCCATCAAGTTTAAGGGTACGTGTTTGAGGGGGTTGCTGTGCCCTTTTGTGTTCACAGGAGTGTGTTAACATGCAGTAGGGCTGACATATCCCAGGCTAGACCGAAGCAATGAAATAAGCTTTCCACGCCTAGGAACAATGATGCCTGTGTCACAGCCAGTCAATGGCTGCTTCAGTGCCTTGTAGCTAATAGACTTTCACCAAACGCTGGCCAATCTGCTGAGTGATATTTGAGGCTGGATGTTGTGATTCTGTTTAAAGACCATTTCTAACACTCCCACCCTTGAATATAAAAACTAAAATCGCTCAGCATTTAAAAAGACTTTTTAAAAAAAAAATTTTTTTCCCCCTGTCAAGCTACAGGTTCTGTAATAGCATAGACAGAATTGGGAAAAGAACAGTTTTCTGTAAGGATTCTAGAAGGAACTACCGCAGTAGCAAATAAGCTCCAAGAGCCCCATTGATCTCTTACATTCGCTTTCAATCTATGGAAGAAGATTGTCTCGCACCCGAGCTGGCCCAAGCTTAGTTCAGCGTGTCTTAAAGCAGCAGAATCCTGGATCCTGGCCACTGAATCTTCACACCATTTGCTTATTAAGTAAGGAGACTTGCTCTAGAATTCATTTGCAGTGATCTGAAATAACCCGGCATTTACTTCCGTGACCTTTTAGTGTTTGTATCACCTAAAGCATTCTTCCTCCCTTCACTGTTGCAGTACAAGCAAGACTCAAATTCCTGACAGCAGGGGAAGGAAGAAAAAAAAAAAAAGAAACAACCCACAAACCCCAGAGCACAACAATGTTAATGATCCACATTTTATTTTTATTGTGTTGACGATTTCAACGACAAGCTTCAAGAATTATCAAGGCAGACTGCATTTGTCCAAGTGAACTGGAAATGATAGACTGACCAGAACTAGTACGAAGAAGGCAAATTTATAAGCCACGTAAATGAAAATAAAATAAAGACAGAAACAAGTTGCCGAAGAAGGCGGGTCTCTCTTCTGTGCGTGCGTCCAAATTTGTGGGAGTTTTTTATATTACCAGATAATGTCGTGATAGTGTATCTGTGACTTCAATGATGATAAATGTGCAATCTGATCTTTTCGAAGAATAAACAGTTCCTTGTTAATTAATTTATACAGCTGTCAGTGCAGCTTTCTCTCTCTGCACTCCAAGAGTTTCCCTGCCATAGATTTTCTTGCCGTTCCTGGCAAACCTCCAGTGAGAGCCTGGGATTTATTAGGCTGACTTGGTGCAAAGTCTATTGATTGTGGCCCCGAGGGTAATAGCTAAATAGAGCCGGAGCAACAAGTCAATAACACCATTGTTGCTGCAGCCAGCATTCGCTCGAGGAGCGAGATTGTTCGACAGCAGCCGAGGGGAATCTCGGGCAGCTTGGCGTGTTCAACACGCGCAGCATGCACCCGTGTCAGTGCTGAGGACTGTTTGAAAGATTTCAGCGGGATCGCTGGAGAACCGGGGTGGGGTACTGGGATTATGAACCCTGTGAACTCCATCATTACAGCTTAAAGGTTTCAACTTTAGTTTTTAACATCTGCTGCAACCTCGGGGAGCTCAGAGGCAGGGCTGGTGCAAAGGAGCGCACACCCGGGCCCTGGGCTAGCACGGAAGGGTCTGTTGTGCGCCGAGTCCCGGAAACAAGCCGGTTCTGAGCGCAAAGATGCTCCTCAGAGCTGCTGCCTGTCACGCATCCGTCCATCCGGCCGGCCATGTGGGGGCGGAGGGAGCCGGTGGCACTGTCCCTAGCCTCTCACAGCCCAGAGTGTGTTCGGCATGCACCGTCTAAGCAGGAGCTACTCTAACCTCTGCGGAGACTCTGATGGTCACTTTCGCGCTTCCAAGTCTTGAGTTGCACTGACTTGATTTCAAAAATCATTTTCGTAAGGCTTGCTGAGAAAGGAGCCAATCACGCCTTTCAAAGCCCTTCTTTCCTAACTGGGAGAAGGTCAGAACTTTTACATACCTGATGACTGGGTTTTAAATTACAGAAAGCAAAGTCAAAGTCCACATCAGGGCCTGTCTCTGTTTGGCCTTTGGGAAGAATCCTTGCCCCTCTCGTGGGAGAAACCTGTTTCTGTGCGTGGAGGACTAGAAGATCATGGGACAGGTTCCCAGATGTGGCTGGCACTAGCCAGTCTCCTGACCTCCCAAGACGCCGCTTGTCACACGTGGCCGTGTGAACCCACTACCCACGCATGACCACCATCCCTTGTGTGACCCCGTCTACGCTGAGTACAAGTCTTTCACAGAAGCTTCTGTTTCCACTGAATCTTACATCCTTAAACAAATTTAATTGTTCTGTATAGGACTAAAAGGGTGGGGTTTTGTTTTTGTTTTTGTTTTTGTTTTGTTTCGTTTTGTCTTTTTCCCCTGTTAACTCCTATTTTACTGAAAGAATTCTTGGCAAATCTATAGCAAAAAAGAAAACTTGGGAGGGTTTTTAAAAATTACTTGCAGTATGACTCACTGTAATGAAAGGTTCAGAGCATGGAGTAATTCCATCGGGTAGCAGTACTTTCAGTAAAAAAAATGTTTTGAGAGTTTAGTCAATACTAACACACAACTTAGGAGCAAAGGTGGGCCACTCCTTCCTCCGCTGGGAGACATAAGTAACCTTCTCATCAGACTTTTCTTTTGGTCTGAATGAAGAAATCCCTGTCCAATCTGCTTAGGTTCAACTCTATGATCCAAGCAGTTTTTGACAAATCAAGATGACCTAAGACTTGATAAGCTTTGGCACAGGAAAGAAATATGCAAGAGAAGTTTAGGAGCTCAGGGAGGGAGGGGGCGGGGGGGTAGTGATAATCTAAGTTAATGTGTGGAATACTTTCAGTTTCTCAAGGAAGATGTTTTTGTTTGGGTGGCTGTGGAAACCTCACGTTTGCTTTATCACTGCCTGAACAGGGAGAAGAGGGAAAACACGAAAGAACACGCACATGTGCAGTTCTTTTGCGTGATTCTAGAAGCATCTCTCGAGGTTTCCGTGAGTGGAGGCCAGATATTTTCACAGCCATTCACTCCTCTAAGTGTCAGAGATGGTCAGAATCCTCTCAGACGGAACAGAATGGGGGATGAACAGAGGAGAATGATAGCTTCGCGTATTTGCCAGATGCCAAGAAGTCAGAGGGAGTCATGGGTGGGTTCAGGAAACAGAGGCTGAGGGGATTTATCTGTTTAAGGGGAGACTGGATTTTGATACAGTGACAAGCATGGCAGGGGTACCACAGTCATGAAATAACCGGTGCTTTTGCGAATGGCCACCCCGGAAAGTAGTCTATGGCGAATGCATCTCCTTAGGAGAGACTGTCCCTTTCTCCCTCCCCACCCATGCAGCAGGTTCTCCCAAACTCATGCCCACTCCAGGCCAATAATGTAGGGGCTTGACTTATTTTGAGCTAGTTCAGATCATCTGGACGTGAATGTAGAGAATATTCCTTAGTCTATTAGCACAAGCTCACCTACTTTAAAAAAAAAAAAGACCATATAGGAAAAAATGTTCTGTGACAATCAAGTCGGCCTGAGCAACGACAACCAGAATTCATCTTTCATCACTTTGCAATTTCATTTCCTGCATGTGATGCTCTAGAATCATCTGAAAATAGGTATCTGAAGGGCGACTCCCCTAGACACGTGAGGTGGGAGAAGATACCTGTATTTTCAGTACTGCTGTTCCACAGAAGCCGTTACCCTCTCTACTGCCATGTCCTGTCCAATGACGGGCCGTACTCCCTAAGAGCTGCCCTGTTCTGTAGAATCCACATGGACTTGTTTGCTGTTACAAGCTCTTTATTACTTCTTCAGCTCTGAGCTGCCAATGTTAAGTGTTTAATTCTAAGCTTATTTGTGTGCCTGGGATCCCATTAATTGCAGATGGGAATAACACCATGCTTTTGGTGGAGAGGAAACTGAACAATTTTGCTTATAGTTTGTTCAAACACACACACGTCATTTCAGCAGAAAACTTTCAAACCTTTGAAACTAATATACAGAAGTAAGTCCGTCTTTCTCCTCTGCCTTCTTTGAAAAGGCATTTCCAGTGAAGTCTTCGGTAACACCCAGCATTTACCAAGTGTTGCTCATGTACCAGGCACTAGATTAAAAGCTCAGTATGTGTAAGCTGACTCAGTTTCTCACTTTAACATTACAAAGCATATATTGCTGTTCCCATCTTGCAGATTAGGAAACCAGATGTCAGTAAAGTTAGTTAGTTAGTAGGAAACCAGATCCTTACAATGATCCACAAGGCCAGCACGATCCGATCTCTGCCTCCCCCTGGGCTCACCTCCTTCCATCCTTCTCCTCTCTGGCCACACTGCCTTCTCTCAGTCCCATGGGCATGCCACTCCAGGTAAAGGACCTTTGCATGTGCTGGGCCACCTGCCCCACCCCCGCCCTCCTCCCTTATTATTAACCCAGTGCATTATTCAGTTCTCCCGCCAGCTCCCAGGAGCGCGCTCCCTCCAGGTAGGGGTGCCTGCAGGTGCCCAGCGCATCAGGACAGAGGCTGCCTCTTCCCAGGCAGCCCCAGCCACTGACTGAGCACAGCCGCAATGCCAGGGCCAGCCATTTCAGCCCACTGTGGGCTTCCTCTCATGGCAAGGAGTCAGCTTCGCCCCAGAGCTCTTCACTGGGTTGGCGGAAACTTGGTCCCACCCGCATGGGATCTGACGCTCTCCTTGGCTTTCACTGGTGTCCCAGCTGCATAGTCTCCCAGTCTTGCTTCTTCCCCCGGCTATCTGCCGCAAGAGTTACCGGTCCATACACCTTCTTCACTCCTGACTCCATTTCAGCACCTGCTTTCCTAGAAGTCCCACCTGACCTGAGCCCCGCTTCTCGACTCAGAGTCGAAGTGCTCCTTTGCAGCACTGCCCAGTCTCGGGCTGTTTACAGCTTGACGCTATGTCCTGGGCCGGCGTGACCATGCTGGCATGAAGTCTGTAAGCTCCGTGAGGGCAGGCACCTGTTCGACTTGGCTCATCACTGCATCCCCACGCCCAGGGCTCTCACCTTTCGCCCACGGTGTAGACAGACTGGGGCGTGGCGCTGGAGCCCCCTCACTCCCCATCGCCCTGTTGGGGGGCTCGCTCAGCCCGGTGTGTCTAGGGCCCCGTCACCAGCTGCCGGCAGTGACTGTTGAGACATCAAAGCCTCGCAGAGGGTGGGACCCTGAGCCCCAGGGCTGACTTGGAGAGCCCCCTGGAAAAGAATTTTGTCCCGGGGCCTGGATCGGGCCACCCCCGTGTGAAGGCCCTTTGGCTTCTTTTCCCCAAGTGGAAGTGCATGCCCTTTCTCCTTGCAGAGAAGATAGGACTTTAGCGTTTCCAAAACCTTCTGAGTGAAAACATCTGTATCCGATTTTTCCCGTCACAGCGTATTAGTGAAGTCCTGCTCAAGAGGGCCTGCAGTCGACAAGTCTCTCATCAGAAGGTGTCCCTGCCATCAGCTGGAATTACGGTGGGGCCGCCAAAGCGGGCGCCCCCGCCAGATGCCGGCCTGCGTAATTACATTCGGTCTACCTACATTCCCTCTGGACTTCTCATCGGACACAGGATTCTTCCTCTCTGCCCTGAACTGCTAGGGAGTGTTTGCTAAGAGCCTTTCAGCTGCTGCCATAGTTCATTCCAAAAATGGACGCATTCCTGAAGGACCACTTGTCAGGGTGTTGTCACGGCTCAGGAGAGGGGCCGGCCTGGCTCAGTGGCCCCTCAGGCCCCTTGCCCTTCCAGTCCTG